TTTGCATTTAGCATAAGAAAAATCCTTTTATCCGACTTGCATCATGAGTAAGAACACATCACACACTTCTCATAGTGGCTGTGATTATAATTCACCTCCAAATCTTTCAAAACTAATGAGTGAACTAAAGGCACTAAAACATGGAGAAAGTGTGAGAGGTTAAAGAGAAAAAGAAGAAACTGAAGCACGCTTAGAGCTTGAGCTTAAGGAATTAAAAACAAAAACAAAAGCTCCCAAAAGAAAACTATACAAAAAATATGACAGCAACTTATCTAGTGTCTTTTCTAAGAGCAAGAGCAAGGAAAGTGATAATCAAAATAAGTGACTACTACCATAGTGAGTCAACAAACATAAGTCTAAGAAAGAGAAAGAGCCCAAAGTAAAGGTATCCAAGATCTCCCACACTTTTATGGTAAAGATGATGTGGAGGCTTACTCAGATTGGAAAATGAAAGTAGAATAACTCTTCACTTGCCATCAAGTAAGTGAATAGAGAAAGATTCATTTGGCAACCCTTAGCTTCCAAGGGTATGCACCCTTGAAAATGAGACAAGACTCCAAAATGACCCACCAATTAAATCTTGGAATTTAGGAAGGCCATGAGGATAAGGCCCATAGACTTTTACTTTGGTAGGGAGTTTATGATTAGGCTCCAAAGACTCCATAAAAAACATGAGTGTGGAAGAATATATACAAAAGATAGAGTTTTATATCATGAGGGTGGGTATTGAGGAATGTCGCAACCCGAAAATTTCCGATCTCGCGACTAATGGTTTAGACATCCTTTTAAAGATCTCATCAATTAAGGAATGCCCGGACACCAGACTAATCCTTAATTAATGGTTTTAAAAAATGAGTTCATGGAGTCGCCACCAATGTTTTACTCAAAACATTGGAAAAAGAAAAGATTTTTAAAAGATCCAATAATGGCCTTGATAACCAGAATTGGGTTCGGGGGTCCGTTACGTGTAAGGAAGGTATTAAGCACCCTTACAACGCCCTAAATCGGTACCCTATGATGAAGTTAATGCGATAAGAAATAATAAATTAAATATTATATCCCCTTTTATTGATGATTATTTACATGATTTAAAATTTAAATTAACAATTGACTCTAAAATATCTACATGATTGCTTTTATGCTAGCAATAATTAAAATAAAGGAAGAGAAAAATAGAACAAGGGATTGATGAATAATACCTCGTAACAAGCTTTATTAGATCTTCCAATATTGAAATTGTAGGTGCTTTATGGCAACCTTTCACACTACACAAATGCCTCACAATACTCAAGAAGTACAATAGGAGAGAGAGAGA